ATAATAATAATAATAATAATAATAATAATAATAATAATAATGTCAATTTCAAGGAACATGTTATGACAAACATTTTCTTTACTTGATTATATTTGAATGATAAAAGTTACTTTACTCAAATGGGACTGATGTTTACAGGCTTCAGTTGGTAAAATCTGAGTCCTCTACCATCACTTCTTCCACTGCGGATGGGATTAATCAACATGGACACACAAAGTGAACTAATCCTGCTCTATAACCGTTTATGAAACAAAGTAATCAATAAACCAAAATATTTTTTATTGTCGTTAGCATTGTTTAAAACATTATCCTGCAATTACGAAATTAGTCTAGGAGGCATCAATTTGCATCCATCACTTTCATGTATTGCAGTCAACCCGGGACATGCAGCCCGATTTGTGGATTAATTATTATACAATAGCCCTCCGCTGCCCTAACAGAGGACTGTGTTAAGGATCAGCTTTAGGGCTGATCATTAACATCAGTGAATGCATCACTTGTACCGTGGTCCCTTTTAAAACTGGATCTTAGTAGATGGGGCGGACGAGGAAATCTCAAATTTCACGTCTGTCCACGGTCTATAATCCGTTTAAATAATTTTTGCTGTCAACTTCACGAAGACATCCCCGGAAATATCGACGTGTGCTTTCAAAACAAAGGCATAATAAGGTCCAAATCACAGATTTAGGTTAAAAGCTTCAAAAAATATTATTTCTGGTAAGGTGAGATAATACATGGGAAATACGAATAAATAACTAATCGTGATTAGGAAACGTTCACCTTGCAGTTCTGATCAATTTAAAATAATGCTTCGATTATTTAGTTAATCATGATGAATCTGCAATAATGTGACTCAGTAGCTTTCTTAGTAGAATACAACATGACAAAACATTTGCATGTTCTCCCGCCTCCTCCACTCCCAACGCTGAATTTGGAAATTGATGGATAAATGGGTGCAGATATTTTCTGTTAAGCAATACAATAAGAAAGAACTGGACTGACTCTGTCTGTCAATCTTCCTGTTTAAAGGTAGTTCTTGTATCGCACCATCACCAAGTGCTATCTATCCATGGCGAATTTGGTGATGGCTGTTGTTCTCTTTCTAATATTACAGTGACATTAGCTCACAAACTGGGAAAAGACACAACTGTTGCTGTGAAGTAATGCTATAATATATTAAATAAATAAAATATAACAATAAAAATTAATTGATGTTCAAATAAAAATTACAAAATCTTGCAGACACAAGCAGAGAATGACAAGCAGAGAATGGTTATACAAGGTCTCAATTATGCCTCTGTCTACACTATTTTTAATTTTACTTCAAGAGACTACGTGGGTCCAGAAGTCGTCTTTTATAAATATAAATAAATAACATGAAACGGGTAGGTCTACCCTGTTTGCGCGTCGCAAAGTCTTTATTTTGAAAATCATCCAGGAAGAGATGCTTTACAATCCAACCACAATGACATTGCAAAGGTTTGTCTTGTCTCTTGTTTTCCTCCGGCAGGATAAAACATGAGGAGCACTCTGCTCTGTGATTTGTATACACTGTCTTGACAGCCGAGCCAGTAGACTGTCAACTTCCTACCTCGGTCACACACACAACGCAGGATACGGCTGCAGGGACGGAGGGAGGCACGGAGAGCTAAATAAAGCGCAGCCTCTTTACAGTATGTTGGGCAACAGAAAGAAAGCAATCCCCCAGGTCAAGAACGGAGCCGGGACGTCTGAATTAAAGGCCATTGATCCTCTGCGGAATCTGGGTGAGAGTTTTTGTTACAGCAGCCTGTGCGTTTATTATGCTCTGTATTTTTACTGAAAGAGTACCGGTATCTCCCTCCGACTGAGAAAATGGCTTTGCTAGACGGTAACCCTGCTTTAACCCGTTAACCCTGCTTCACATTCAGATTGCAGTGCTTGAAAAATTTGCTTTGCTCCCTAGTACAAATCGAGGTACTTGAGGTATACTATTCCACGCTGCTCTAGTTTATCCAGATAGTAAAATTACTGAAATTACCGTATTCCAGTGAGCCGATAATTAACTTAAAATATTTTCCTGACTTATTCAATTCCAGTTAAAAAATAAGGAGGTGACTCTGTTGTTATAGATGTACAGTTTTCACATTTAAATATGTGCCACTGAATTGAGCAACATAAACTGAGCCCATTCTCACTTCTATGATTTTTCTTCTCCACCCATGTGCTATAGCTCGGTATTTACAGCCTTTTATTTTAATGGATTAAATTCATTTTTCACCTCAGAATTCTACACTAAAAACCCAAAACATAGCATGTACATAAGTATTTGTGATGCATCCTGTGTCATCATGTGTCTGATGTTTCTACAACTTGACTAGAGTCCACCCGTGGTGTGTCCAATTCAATTCAATTCAATTCAGTTTTATTTCTATAGAGCCAAATTACAACAACAGGTTACCTCAAGGCGCGTTATAATGTAAGGTTAAGATCCTACAATAATACAGAGAAAACAGAGAAACCCCCAACAATTATATGAGCAAGCATTTTGGCAACAATGGGAAGGGAAAAATTCCCTTTTAATAGGAAGAAACCTGCAGCAGAACCAAGTTGAGAAAGGAGTGTCCATATGTCACAACCATTTAGGGGGATGGAGTTCACTGGACATGGTTTGGAAAGGCAGCTCTCTAATATAAGGTCCCGTAGTTGACGGCAGATTTCAGAGGACAAATTAAAGACTGGATTATATTACATTGAAGGTCCCAGTAATCACAGGGGCCTCCATCATCCATAAATGGAAGAAGCATCACCAGGACACTTCCTGTAACTGCCGCCCAGCCATTCTGAGCAGTCAGGGTAGAAAGGCCTTAGTCATGCCTTTTTTCAAACTATGGCTCATGTGATGAAGCACATGGATGATAGTAGGTCAAGAAACCTGGAATAACTCCCAGTACATTTTAAATACCTGACTCTGCACAATTTGGTTTTAAAATTGAAGAAGTTTCTCTGATGAGATGTGAAATCTCTTCACTTAAAGAGAAACTTAAAGAAGTCCAGGTGTGCCAAACTTTTATCATCATCAAGAATTGCAATAAGCAAAGGCTGTGCATATTTATGCCTGTATTATATTTTTAGATTTTAGTTTTAAATTTCCAAGAATTTAAAGAAAACATTTCACTGTCATTATAGGGTATTGGGTATATAATTTTGAGGTGAAATTTTTATTCAATCCATGTTAGAATAAGGCTAACACATCACCATGTGGAGCGAGTGAAGTCGCTGTGAATAACTTCCAGATGTGCCGTATGCTTACGTCTAGACAAAAGTTTAGGCGGTCGAGTTTGAGAAAATCCCCTCGAAAGAAGCTCCAGAATAACAAAAACATTATAATTAAGTTCAATATATTAAAAATAGTTGTATTAGTGGCTGTATGTGGTCAACAACTGGGTCTCCAGTAAAATAAAGAACATTCAATTCAATTGTATTTCAGCAGGGTTTATTATATGTTTTCACTATGAACTGAAGTGCTATATAATAAACTAAAATAGAATAAAATAAAATAATGTTCTTTTACATTCAAAATGAAATAAAGAACTCTTGAAAGAGTTGTCTTACATATAAAGTCCTTAATTTAAAAAAAGAAAAGGTCTAGTTTGGAACGTTGCTTTGAAAAAATGACCTGATTGGCTGAGTAACATCACATGGAATGACTTACAATCCATGTGACTGGTCTATGTTTGCTGTGTGCACACACTGACTGCCAAAAAATGAAAATAGCAGTACAGATTAAAATAACCATGCTGTACATGCATACAAGAAAACTTGTACCAAGAATCAAATCTAATGGGTCCATACAGAATAGTGTTTGGATCCGGATTCAGACTGCAGTCCACCTTATGGGCTCTAGACTAATCACCATACACTTACGTCACTGAAAGGTTCCTTCCGTGCCGTAGAGTTCATGAGATTCTACAAAAGAACCCACAAACGGGATACCAAGAATTTTGACAGTTTGTACTTTCAAGTATTGACATACAAAACGGAGAGAACTATGTCCAAGTTATAAGAACTAACCCTACAAGGATTGCTCGTGGCCTGGTGCAAAATTACTTTTTTTTTTTTTATAATGAATAATTGTTTAATAAACAATCTCCTCTAGCAGAAGTACACATCCATTCAGCTATGAGGCACATTTCTGGAGGTGTTACTTTTTTGGGGGGCCCAAGTTTATAATGGCTCCAAATGTTGTCTTTATAGTTTTTCCTTCCATTTTTTTCTGTCCACCCACCCAAGATATATTTCAATTACAGTGCACCCACACGAGCAGCTGTGGTGCGGCAGATGTATACACACTAGCCTCTAATTTTAACGCTGATCTCTTTTTCCTCTCTTTATGCCCTCCCTGTTCTTTCTTCAGCCTATCCCAGTGCTACTGAATTTGAATCGTATTATAATTAGGTGTATGCTCACTGCTATTTTATACACACCCAAATACAGTATATAAATATAGTGTTTATAACATAATTTTAATCGACCATCATTTTGTCTCTATGCTTTCTAGGAGTGCAAAATGATGAAGATGTGAGGCAGATGCTGCAGGGCTCTAGTATGGTGAAGGTATCAATAATTATAAACCATTTGTAGCGGTTAGAAGTAGTTTGTGAATGCTATATATTACATGTATTGTAACATATGAAATCATTACATGGGAAGGTTCGCTCGCCTCGCTGGCAGAAGCGTCGGATTCTGAAGTTGCTGGAAGATGGTGTCACCGTTTGGTGTCAATCATACAAAACATCCAGCCGAGCCAAGGAACAACAATCCTGTAAGTTGTATGCAGCATCACACTATCGACACTAAATGAATTTGAATTGTCAGTTGTAAATGAAACATTAAACTATAACAAGTTGCAGTCCACACTGTTACATGATCACAGAATAAATAAATGATTATTTTCATATAACATATATTATACAGTGCTGATGATTATAAAACACAAAGATCATCAAACAAATTCTATTGTAAGACAAAGATAAGCCGAGTAAATACAAAATAAAGTTTTTAAATCATTTAATTTATTAATGGAAAAAAAGCCATCCAAACCTGTCTGTACCTGTCTGAAAACCTAATAACTTTTTGTGCGCTCCTTGACAACAGAAACCACAATCAAGTATTTGGAATAACTGGGAATGACTATTTCACACAGTTGTGGAGAAATTTTGACTTACTCTTACGTGCAAAATGTTTTTAATTCTGTTATGTTGGAAATGTTTGAACATGGAGGACCTGTTTAAGGTCAGGCCATAGCATCTCAGTCTTAATTTGAGTCCAGACATTGACTTGGCCACTCCAAAACCTTCATTTTGAGTTTTTATAAGCCAGAAGTGGAGTTCTCAGTGTGTTTGTCAGTGCGCCTCAGCAGTGCATACACAAAAAATCAGTGTGCAAATTGTGCATACAAACTTTTCAAACACAAATCTGCGATTCATAAATATCTTATCTTTGTCTAAATGTATTTGATGATCTGAAATGTGTAAGTGTTAGAAATATGCAAAAACTAGGAAATCAGTAAGGGGGCAAATACTTTGTAATGGCACTTAATGTAGTGCTTTGATGCTCTTAGCGAAACACTAACAGCACTGTTATAAATTCACAAACGCGCTCATTCAGAACTGTATTGCATGGCTTTTTATCTATTACACACACTCCAGTGGACGTTTCAGGGGCAATTTGGGTTCACTATCTTGTCCAGGAACAATATGATATGTTGTCTAAAGAAACAGGAATCGAGCCATTGATACTTTGATGAATAATCACACCTGCTTCTTTTTAAAGATCACTAATGCGTGAGCCGAAAATGTGTCTCAAGTTTTGGTCAAGATGTAATCATCATCAATAGACCATGGCCTGTGGTAGAAAGATGTTTTTCTCCCATTTTTAAATTCATCTAATACATAAATAAATAATCTAAAGAAAAATCATGGTCTAATTATTTGTTAACAGTGAAGTAAAGTTTAATTACCTATACATTTTTCTGTTTATTGATCATTGTTATCATAAAGGGTTACTATGCAGACATGCTGACCAACATCATTATGTTTAGCTAAAGTGGTTAAAGTAACTAGATTAGCTCATATGGAAAGAGAACTATGACATTACATATAACCTATGTAATACGCTGTAGCCTTTCCTTCTGGAGAACAAGTGGCTGCTCAGTGGTGGCTGGGTGTGTAAGGTAAAATGTCCATGTACTGTATCTATTTTTGATCATTTTAAATACAGTTTGCTGCTCTGTACTTTGTACTCCCTCCTTCACTATCTGAGGGTCACACATGTTGCCCTGATTATAGAGCTCATCTATTTTGAGCATAAGATCCTTTCTCTAGTTCAAATAGTGGGATTGCAAAACATATGGCGGGAGTCCACCTTGGAGCCTGTGGGTTTGATGCTGTGTAGTTAACATATGACTCAGCCACTCCCAAGTACAGTACAGGGCCTTTAATTGGCACTGGATTTGGTGTGCCAGTTCTGTGGTTTACTCCTGACATCCAAGATCATTACAGAGATGGTTTTCCTCTAGTATGTTACACTTCTAAATAAGATTTGAAGCTAAATCTTTGTACTCTTCATTCCATAATCTTCTCAGATGTATTTCAAAAAACTTGTAGATGGTTGTAATTGGACTTGACATGTGGAAATAAAAAAAGCTTGTTAGACACAAACAAGTGTCTTACTAAAACAAACATAGAGTCCAAAAGCTGGAAAAGAAAGGCCTACGTGCAGAATCAAGAGGCAGAGGAGACCAAAGGGAAAGGAAAATATGTTCAGAGAGCCGGTCCAAAGGTGATGCAAGGTACAAAGACAGTCCTGTGGGTTGGCCTGGCTGCAGGACAAAGCAGAGAAGCAGTTTTATGGGTTTACCCAAATGAAGAGAGACAGTTCTCGGAGTGAGCCCGGGGCCCAGCAATGGCCGAGGAGGTGGCCAGTAGGCCTGTTTTGGCAGTCGGTGGCCAGTGATGACAGCCAGCAATACCCAGGTTGGAGACCCTTTGGAGGGGGTGAATGGCAGCTGGTGATAAAGGTCATGATCATTCAGGGGGGGTTGGGAGGAGGCTGACATCGGCAGAGGAGACCCCTCCAAAAGCTTGGTTGGAGCCCATTATCAATGGTAGGGATGAGAGTCCCCTAGAGGCAGAGCCCATTTTGAGACTGGGCTGTGATGGGGGCTGGCAATGGCATCAGCATCATCAGCATGCTGGCCTTCAGCCCACAGACTTTTAATATCTGTAGATCCAAAAATCTAGGTAGAAATTCCAAAAAGCTTCCTAAATTCCTCCTTCAGGTCCTTGGAAAGGATTGCTATATCTTCTGCATCCATGTTCTGGTTGCCTTGTTCTGTCATCTTAGTGAAGTGCAGAATGTTAGAACCCACATCCAAAATGTGACAGGACAAGGTTCAAAACATAATGAGAGCCATTTGGTTGAAAAAGACGGAAAAGGTCTATAAATGCAGAGACAAACAGTAAACAGAAATACATGAAACAAAATCCAAAATAACAGGGAAATACATAAGTAGGCAACAGTGTGATACAGTCAGCTTAAAGTGAAAGACAGGTTATACACACATCGGAGCACATTGAGGGCTAAATTAGGAAAACAGATCGGTGAGAAGAAAGCAGTGAAACTAAACAGTGATAGGGGAAGTAAAACTATAAGCACAACACAGAAGGCAAAAGACTTCCAAATTAAAACAGGAAGTTACTAACCACAGAGACAAAGGTGTGGTAACAGTACATAAGAGGAAACTAAGGAAACCAGAATAAGCAAAGAACCAAATTCTAAAGAACAAACAAACCAAGAACTGGGTGGAAAACCTAATAGTGTCATGGTCCTGGGTCTTCGAGCTTGGTTCTGGATGTGCTCATTTCTTTGAAATTACAAAAGAGTTGTCTCTGTATATATTGTTCTCTTGTGCTTCTGAGTTTAGTTATAGTCTCGTGTGTGTTATGTTCTGCTTTGCCTTCCTTGCTTTGTTAGTGGATTCTGCTCAGCTGTGTTCTCCAGGTGTTTCACCTTTACCCATATCTCATGGGTATTTAAGCCCCCTGTTTCCTTCTGTCACTTGTTGTGATCTTCCCATAGCTGTGTGCCCTGTCTATTTCTCAGTGTAGTTCTCTAGCTAATGTTCACCAGTATCTGCTTACTTAAGTTCTTTGCATTTTGGTTTGCTGCATGTCCAGGAATAAAGCTGCCTTTTGAGTTCAGTTCTGTTTCTGAGTCCTGCATATTGGGTCCAATTCTCTGCTCACTACACAGTGTATCATAACAAATAATAAACAAAGATAAAAGAAAAAAATCTTAAAACTCTCTGTCAGGACCATAACAATCACAAGGTGTGAATATATTTGAATAATTCTTTGCTCACTTTATTTCTTTCTTCATCCTCCAGTCTCCATCATGGAAGTGGAGTGTGTGCACGAAGGTTGCCAGTCAGAAACATTGCGGCAGATGGTTGGCTCAGTACCTGAAAACCAGTGTTTAACAGTGGTCTTCAAAGGGTCTCGTAAAAGCCTGGATCTCCTCTGCCAAAGCCAAGAAGAAGCTCAGTGCTGGGCCCGTGGCATCCGTACCCTGCAGGAGAGGATGGACAACATGACCCAGAAGGAGAAACTTGACCAATATCCTTGATTTTTGTGGGGGTGGACATACATCCCTGTTCATTTGGATTTATAGAAGCACTACTTTGTGTACATTTAATAATTATTATTATTATTATTTAATTATAATTTGTTGACCACTGGGAACCAAGAGATCCAAACTAGAGAGTTAGCACTGTAAGAGGTAACCACTGAGACTTCATGTTAAAATACACCATATGGCTCACCAGTGCTTCCTTGACAGTGTCACCTGGATTCATGCTTATATGAGTCGGGCTGACCGAAACCGCGACGACAAGATGAGCTACGATGAGGTTCAGATGCTGCTGCAGATGATCAATATTGACTTGAATGACCAGTATGCTCGCAGCCTCTTCCAGGTAGCAGAACACACTGCTTAATTTAAGTAATTAAAGTCAATCATTTAAATTAAAGCTAACTTTACGGGTTTATAGCCATTCTGTCTGGAGTATTGATTTCCCCTCTTGGCGTGCAGTGTGGGTTTTTCAGTTATATTGTATACAAATGGTGATGACTTTATTTGGTTAGTACTCAGAGCTTGTGACCATAGGAAAGGGTAGGAACGTAGACTAACCAGTAAATTGACACCTTCACATTTACGCTCAGCTCTCTCTTTATTACAGTGGACTGCCATGTAGTCTGTTTGTTGATCTCATTTTCCGCACTCCTCTCACTTGTGAACAAAATCCTGACTGTCGCCCATAGACGTTGCCTGATGAGTGCTAATGACTAAATAGAGTGCACCTGTGTGTAATCTAATGTCAGTACAAATACAGCTGCTCTGTGACGGCCTCAGAGGTTGTCTAAGAGAATATTGGGAGCAACAACACCATGAAGTCCAAAGAACACAGCAGACAGGTCAGGGATAAAGTTATTGAGAAATTTAAAGCAGGCTTAGGCTACAAAAAGATTTCCCAAGCCTTGAACATCACACGGAGCACTGTTCAAGCCATCATTCAGAAATGGAAGGAGTATGGCACAACTGTAAACCTACCAAGACAAGGCCGTCCACCTAAACTCACAGGCCGAACAAGGAGAGCGCTGATCAGAAATGCAGCCAAGAGGCCCATGGTGACTCTGGACGAGCTGCAGAGATCTACAGCTCAGGTGGGGGAATCTGTCCACAGGACAACTATTAGTGGTGCACTGCACAAAGTTGGCCTTTATGGAAGAGTGGCAAGAAGAAAGCCATTGTTAACAGAAAACCATAAGAAGTCCCGTTTGCAGTTTGCCACAAGCCATGTGGGGACACAGCAAACATGTGGAAGAAGCTGCTCTGGTCAGATGAGACCAAAATGCAAAACGCTATGTGTGGAAAACTAACACTGCACATCACTCTGAACACACCATCCCCACTGTCAAATATGGTGGTGGCAGCATCATGCTCTGGGGGGGCTTCTCTTCAGCAGGACAGGGAAGCTGGTCAGAGTTGATGGGAAGATGGATGGAGCCAAATACAGGGCAGTCTTGGAAGAAAACCTCTTGGAGTCGGCAAAAGACTTGAGACTGGGGCGGAGGTTCACCTTCCAGCATCAACGACCCTAAACATAAAGCCAGGGCAACAATGGAATGGTTTAAAACAAAACATATCCATGTGTTAGAATGGCCCAGTCAAAGTCCAGATCTAAATCCAATCCAGAATCTGTGGCAAGATCTGAAAACTGCTGTTTACAAACGCTGTCCATCTAATCTGACTGAGCTGGAGCTGTTTTGCAAAGAAGAATGGGCAAAGATTTCAGTCTGTAGATGTGCAAAGCTGGTAGAGACAGACCCTAAAAGACTGGCAGCTGGAACTGCAGCAAAAGCTGGTTCGACAAAGTATTGACTCAGGGGGCTGAATAATTACACACACCCCACTTTTCAGTTATTTATTTGTAAAAAATGTTTGGAATCATGTATGATTTTCGTTCCACTTCTCACGTGTGCACCACTTTGTGTTGGTCTTTCACCTGGAATTCCAATAAAATTGATTCATGTTTGTGGCTGTAATGTGACAAAATGTGGAAAAGTTCAAGGGGGCCGAATACTTTTGCAAGCCACTGTAGATTCCTCAATTTGGGTTAGTTATTCATCCCACACTTGGAGTGTGCATATGGCGGGGGTGTTGCCTCTGGCTCCGCTGCAGTGTGGGGGTGGTTAAGTGGGCTCGAGGGGCAGTGCCAGGGTGGCTGGCAGGGCAGCTGCTGCCACTCAGTAATCAGACTGTCCCTATTTCAGTGACACAGGGGCTCAAGAGAGGAGCTGAGTGTGGAGTGGAGAAGCAGCTGAAAAGCTGACCTCCTGACGTCAGGAAAAAGGATAACGTATTGTTAATAACACCATAAAACTGTCACCTGAGGCTACGTGGGGTCCATTCATTTCACAGTGGTGGTCCCGCAGTCTGCGGCACCTGTGCAGCTGCTGCACCTACTTGGCAGATATAGTGATGCACCAAGAGCAGGCAGCAGTGCACAAAGACCAGCTGAATGAGCTTTGGGCTCAGGCAGAGCAACAAACAAGTGTGCGGGAGAGACTGGACAGGGCAGCCGCACCGCTGCGATCCCCTCCTCTCATGGTGGCCATGCACCGGAAAGGGGACGGGGATGATCCCCAGGTCCTCATGGAGGCGTTCCTGGTTAGTGCTGAGGCATGCCAGTGGCCTGCTGTGGAGTGGGTTCCGCGGCTACTGCTGCTGCTATCCGGAGTGGCCCAGACGGCGAGCCATCAGAGGGCGAGGCGTGGATGCTCTCAATGATTGTCCTGGAGCAGTTTGTGGAGGGGCTGCCCAGAGAGGCGACATGGTCCGCTGTTACCAGCCCTGGCTGAAGATCACCAACTGGTCAGCAGGCAACCGCCGGTAACTGCGTCGAGGAGGAGGCCCCCTGGCCCAGCCCCAGCGGAGCGACCTCCGCCCCTGCAGTCCTCAAATCTGTCCTAGCGAACCTGCCAACCCGGAGCCGAGCAACAACAGGCACCCGAGCCACAGGGGGTGGCGCAGGCAGCCGGGACACCTGCAACGGGAGTGTCCACTGATGCAGGTCAGGCGGGTGTTCTGCGCCCAACCAGACTTACCGCATATTAGTAAGGTGTCAAGGAGATATACACCAGACTTTGGTGGACATGGCCTGTACGCAGACCCTCGTGCATCAAAGCTTGGTTCACCCCAGAGCATTGTTGGAAGCAAAGTGCGGTTAAGTGTGTGCATGGGAGCATTCACAAATATCACACAATATTTTACAGTGCAGTAGCATGTAGTGTCTGCGCGGCATTCAGCGGTGACATGTACTTCTAGGGAGGATCCGCCGGCACCAGTGATTCACCCGAGGGGAGATTTCCCACTGGAGCAGTCTTATGATGACACCCCACACTCAGCCTTCGACCAAGTGATAGAAATTGATGGTCACCTGGTGTGCCCTGAAGCCGCGCAGGCCTACCCACACTTTGTATTATTGAACAATAGGCTTTATCAAGTGAGTTGTGACACTCACACAGAGGAGGCGTACACCCAGTTGTTGGTGCTGAAAAGCCGTCGAGAAATTATTTTCCAGGCGGCTCATTATAACCCCATTACAGGGCATATGGGATATGATAAACCTCTGGAGCGAATAATAGCCCAATCTTATTGGCCAGGCCCGAGCAGATGTGCGCTGATGGTATGCGTCATGCAAGGAATGTTAGCTGGTTAACCAGCCAGCTATCGTAAAAGCACCTTTTTTCCCACTACCAATAATGGAAGTGCCGTTTGAGCGCATTGGCATGGACCTCATCAGGCCATTTCACCGAAGGGTACGTGGCTATTGCTTTGTATTAGTTATGGTGGATTATGCAAAGCAACCCTCGGAAGCAGTGATGCTGGGCACCATCTCTGCAAAGAGTGTTGCGCAGGCGCTGTTCAGGGCATCTCTTGAGTTGGCAGCCCAAAAGAGATTCCTGACTGACCAGGGCAGGTCATTCATGTCTCACACACTTAAACAGCTGTACAAATTATTGGGCATGAAATCTAAACCAGGAGAGGAGAGAGATGAATTGGGGCCAGAGATGCCAAATTCAAACATTCCTGCCTCTCTCCATTGTAATAAACATCTCACACAGGGCCAGAGAGTGGATGTTGGTGTATCCAACAGCGTTTTGCAGATGTGTTCTCACCTCTGCACGTCGTACTTCGCTCATAGAGCACCATTTTGCATAGGCATGCATAGAGCGACCTGGCGTGGCGGTGTGTTTACAGCCCTACAGGTTACCTGAGCAAGAGGCAAATTGTTGAGAGAATTGCTGAAAATAGGAGTGATAGAAGAGTCAAACAGTGTGTGGTGTAGCCCCCTAGTTCTTGTGGTGAAGAAAGATGGGTCTGTATGGTTCTGTGTGGAATATCCTTATCCGATGCCCCAGGTCGATGAGCTCCTGGACCGGTTAGGCACTGCTCACTTTTTCACAACACTGGATTTTTACGGAGCTATCCCCACCAGGGATAAAAAATAATATAGCAGATACAGGGATATATAGACCAAAAGTGGGTAGAGATAACACCCCCACAGCAAATCATGTTCTATTTGCACATTAACAAACTGCTATTATTTCCGTCTTTCTGATAGAAATGTGACCAGTCAGGTGACGGTCGTCTCGATCACGGAGAGATTGAAGTTTTCTGCAGGGAGTTGTTACGAAGGCCAGAACTGGACATCATATTCATTCGCTACTCTGCAAATGGCTGTGTGCTTTCAGCTGTGGACCTGAGGGATTTCCTAAAGGACCAGGGGGAGGATGCCTCACTCGTTCATGCCCAAAGCCTCATACTCACCTATGAACTTAATGAGTGGGGTACGGTACTAGTAACAATAAATTATAAGATTGGAGAATTAAAATACTTTAAAAATAGCAAAGCTTACCTGACAAATATTCAGCTGTGCTAAAGGATGAAGTTTGTGGTACAAAGGACATTTTGACTGGAAAACACAGTTTGGCCACAACTCAAAGATTCATACACCAAGTCTGACCTGACAACATTTCACATAGATGTCTAATAGGACAGAACAGAATATCACAATGGGATGGGGTAATTCTATATTTATTCCCAGTCTGTCTGAGGGATAAGCAGTAACACATTCTGGCTAGAGCAAATGAAAACACAAGGATTGATGAGGTAAGTGATCAGATAAGCTGAAGTGTTTCAGTTTACATCAGACCTGAAGGAGATTCAAGTCTTTATAGAATAGTCTGTGTATACTGAGTATACATAGGCTGCTCCAGACTGCTCCTCTGTGTGTCTATTGTATTTTCCTGGTATCAATTGACTAATCATAGGCACATGAAGATTAATTCAGACACTGATATAAAAAGAGTTGAAAAGCTGTAAATGAGTGAAGAGGATGCAGTCTACATGGATACATCAGCAACCAGTCAACCAGTTTGATTCCTGGCCAGTCGCATCCCTTCTGAATGTCTTCCCCCTCTGTTTCTGTGCTACAAAAAATTAAGGCATTTTTATTATTATTTTTAATTATAAGAATAAAAATGATGTTTATTTAATACCCTATTTTTTAAACTTTGTTTCTCTTTGCCCATTGCAGCCCAGAAGAATAGCTTCATGACTCCCAATGGTTTCACCATGTACATGTTGTCAAAGGAAAACTGTGTGTTTAACCCAGAACACGCTAGAGTTTACCAAGACATGGCACACCCACTGTCGCACTACTTCATCTCCTCGTCCCACAACACCTACCTCACTAAGGACCAGCTGACTGGGAACAGCAGCACAGAGCCTTACATACGGTAACAGCAACAGGGCAGTGATTGTGAACTAGGCCGTGTGCAAATACATTTATTAATTTGGTAACCTAACTATTTCACTATTATTGACAAAGGCAGTATACTGTTATTATTGTATTAGAGTTTTGTACTAAATTATTATACTTTAAATTGTCTCACAAAATTCTGAACAAGGTGAATTAGAATTTTTGTAAAAACCAATCATAACACACAAAATGCAGCAGTACTTGTCAGTCCCCTATAAACAGCTGGATGGTGTTGTCTGGGCTGCCTAGCTAAGCCCACTGACATCATAACTCGGATCAAGATTAGTGTCAGGAATAGGTGGATAAACTACGTAGTGCTTCTTCGCATATCTGCTCTGTTCTCAGAATTGTTCTCAGCTGTTATGACCACTGACAAGTGAAGTGAAAAAGACTGTCACGACTATCACTTCATCCTGGGTGGCTGTAGCTTAGGAGGTAGAGCAGGTGGTCTGCTAATTTGAAGGTTGGTCTCTGGTTGCATGCCAAAGTGTCCTTGGACAAGATACTGACCTCAGAAATTCCCCAGATCTCAATCCAACTTTGGAATGTTCTAGACAAACAAGCCCAATCCATTGAGGCCACAACTGACAACTTGCAGGACTTAAACGATCTGTTGCTAAAATCTTGGCGCCAGATACTGCAACGTGTCTTCAGGGGTGCAATGGAGTCCTCAACAGGTCAGAGCTTTTCTGTGAGCAAAAGGGTATAAACACAATATTAGGCAGGTGGTCATAATGTTGGTGTATATACCTGGGAATTTGGTACTGTTAACAAAAGTTACCATTGACAAATAAACCCACATGTACAAGTTTTAACTAGCTGGCTAACCAACCCCATGTTGGCAATTATACTTTAGTGTAGAAATGTTTATACCATGGCATTGTTCAACATTATACATAAGTTAAAGTCATGGCGCATTACAGCTGGTGAGTTAATTTGGCAAGCCAGATAATTCCACTCACGCATACTTTTACTAAGTATAACTTAACCAAACAAGATACAGTTAGCCAGCCAGCTATAACTCAGCTATTCCGCATGAATCTGATGGTGCTGTCACGGGTTGCTCTGAGGATCCACTCGCAGGACTCCGGAGTTGTGTTTTAACAGAGACGGTTTATTTACAAGATCTCCACCAAGTGTATTTACAGACAGTGTGAGGATAGTGCTTTAAACAAGATGTGAGAGGCAGGGTTCCAGGGAAAACAAGGGAATCACACACGCGCTCACGCCAACCTTTCTCTCTCCGCTAGTGACCAGTCACTCCTTCCACACTCCACACGGGGAAACACGGGGATGGGTCCGGGGAATCTAGAACACAGAGACACACGTTAACTTTCTGAGGCGGAGGCATGGGAAACTTGGGCTCGACGTGTACTGACTAGAGTCCTCACAACAATCCAGCGTTGAACAGCTGACCTCCTCCCTCTAAAATACCAGCTGGTCTGATGAGGCCCAGGTGTTCCCAATCCAGGAAGGCGTGGGCCGAGGGCGTGAAGCCGCCATGAGTTCCGCCCCGGCCAAACAGGAGAGAGAGGGAGAGAGGGGGAGAGAGGGGGAGAGAGAGATAGAAAAGGAGAGCCAGGAGTGGGGAGATTATGATCAGCGCCTTGCCGATCCCGCAGGTCGTGACAGGTGCACCATTTGTATTGTGTACTGATGAAGTAGGTGGAAAACGGAAAATGTCAGATAGCTGGCAAATATTCATTGTAAGCAGGCATGCAAGTATGCAAGTAACATTAGCCAAAAAGATCACAGATATAAATTTTCAAAAGCAATCTCTTCTACAAAATACTATATAGCCATTTTGCCTTATGATATGCTTAGAACAGTCATATGTTGATGTTACATTTGTCCAAAAAGTAATTAAATGCCATAATTTTTTTAAGTTACTTTAAATTTACTTTACTTCAGAAATATGTAATAAAAGGTGTTTAAGATGTAATTTTTTCTTAACCCAAGGTACACCTTTACTCACAAAGCTTGAATTTGTCTCTTAGAGCTCTAAAACATGGTTGTCGGTGTGTGGAGCTGGACTGTTGGGATGGAGACAAAGGAGAACCAGTTATCTATCATGGACACACACTTACTTCCAAAGTGCCCTTTGTTGAAGTAATTGAGACTATCAATGAGTATGCTTTCAAAGTGAGTACTTCACTGTAACCAAGAGTTCTCTGCAGAAAATGAAATCTTACTGTAGAAATTGTGTAGTATGGTATTTCAAACAATCTAAGCAACTACTGCAGATGTCATTGACTGACTTATTACAGTAGTGTAAATATATTAGAGGGTTAACTAGCTAATTGGAGCCTTGAATGTGTTCTAACAACCAACCATCAGCTGCAAAGTAATGCTCAATAATCAGATTGCTTCCTGTATAGATGCTGCTTTAGTCCACAGATTATAGAATTCTTACCTTGATTACCTGACATTAAAGAGACCACAATGAGCCAAAAACAATTCCTCACACAATCAGCAGAAGCTTCAAATGCTAACACTGTGCTGACATTCTCAATGTTCAGATATGTATATATATATTTATATATTTGGAACCATCATGAATGACTTCTAGAAGCTAGTTTTGCTCATCTGAATGCATCATTAGTGATGGTAAATATATGTTTGTCCATTCTGATGATTTGACTTATGTCTTGAGATATATAGATATAGATGCTGCTGCTGTATATGTTCTTTGATTTTTACTGCTTGTCCTTCCTCTTGTGTTAGCTTTCTGTTACTGTCTCTTATGTTAACGTGTCAGTTTTGACCGTGCCTCAAATCAGCCAAAACCATACCCTCAAAACAATAATTTATCATCCAATTTGTTTGTTACCTGTTGGTTACCTTCTTCAGCTTCCTTATCTATGAAAAGATTGGTTTTAATGTGGCCCACACGGCTTTTTTACAGGATACCTTTTCAATCGAAAAAAAATGGTAAACTGAACCTCAAGAGATTTTTTATGTTACCTTACTATTAATTACAACTACTAGAATATATCTCTAAAATAATTTCTTTTATTTATTCTTTATTTTAATGTTATTAACTATTGTGAGATCTGTGGTGTTACAGGTCAGTTTAATGCATACATATTTAGTTGGAGAGTTTTTTGGGGACAGTATTAAACAACAATGGTTGTCTCTATAAAGCACATTTTAAAGAAAGTGGAGCCCTGTCCTTCAGGGGTCAGTTCAAGTTTTTTTGTTTTGCTTGCCTTCGTTTTATTGTGTCCACCATGGTAAGTTTCTTCCTGAAGTCCTTATCTAAGGTCATAGATGGTAAAGAAATTGTCGCACATGATATTGTCACGTGTCCTCGCAGTCCAGTAATCATATTAAGGATTAGAAGTTTTCCTTGATTCTTCACAGGGATACTAATTGCACATTAGTCTGTAGATTCTGTGCATTGCAGTTCTTGCATCAGCTATGCATGGATTTCTGTGTCTTTTTTGCCAGTCTGGCTGGTGTTATGTTGCCAGATAGCGCATTTTTCCATGAAAGGGACAAAATGTTCATCTGCTGTCACCTCTGCCCTGGGTTGAACATCAGTGGAAGGAGATGCACCAATCTCTCCCATACATCTCTGATGGGGCAAGCTTGTCAGTTTTTGCTCTAGTACCACTGTTGTCAAATCTGAGGACTTTTAATACCATTCAAAAGAAAAAGATTCTGCCTGGCGATGCATCCAGAAACTATCAGTGTTTATAATGCACCAATATAAGCATCCAGATATTCCCAGAGGTGACATTCCAAATGTTGCCATGGACTGTTTTTTCTTTAAAGCATTGTAATAGCAATAATGACTTTTAGGAAAAGTGGTGAAATCAATAACAAATGAAAACATGTCTTGATGTCACGTATTCTTGTCACGGCACACCTGGTAATCCCAGGGGTCATTTTGGTGACATTTTCAGCAGTGGCCCTGCCATGCAAGCCAGGAGATACTGCACTCCAAGAGATGTGACCACTTTTGGATTTGTATGTTTCAGCAGAACAGAAGCAGTTTCAGCACCTGTGACCTCCTCATCAGACTTATCAGATGTATCTTTGTTGTATCCCGTGGTTGACATTCTCTATCATCCAGCTCCTCAGAAACTGGCTTGTCCATATTGCTATGCTGTTTTGTGTCTTCTGGCTAATTCTATTCAAAGATATGATGCAGAGCTTGGCTTATTGTAAATCTTCTCATTTTTGCATGCTGCAAACCGGAGATGTATACTCTGCATGTCACCAACATCTTTACATGTCTTACATTTTTATACATTTCCATCTGGATTACCTTTTCAATCAAGCAGTAGGGATAAAAGGGGCTGTTTGTTCTGAGGAGACAAACAGACAGAGAAGCCCCTAACTTCTCTCCGACAGTGTTAGTGAGCTCAGTGTGTTTATGATTTTAGTTTTGGCACTGATTATTTCATAATCTTACATTTTAACTGGGTCAGAACCGACCCTAACAACACAAAGGTCATAACTTTTGCCAAAGCATTTTGTAATTTTGTGAAATTATTTTTTATTTTATTTTGTTTAAATTGAGGTTCTTGACAAAGTCAAAAAGGCTTGATGCAATAAACAAATTTAAATAGCACTTCTATGCATTTAAAACCTAAAAACAGGTTGGTGCCAACCCTAACACAAGAGGAAGGTGTGTTATAGATCGACATTAGCCACAGTGACAATTTTGCTGACAGGCCAAGTGATAATTTCCTTATCTTTCTCTGGTCTACAGAAAATACTTTTCTCACTGACTTTCCAACATTGTGTCTATCCCAGTCCTCTCCCTACCCTCTAATCCTGTCTTTGGAGAACCACTGCTCTCTGGAGCAGCAGAAAGTTATGGCTAGACATCTGCACTCCATTCTGGGAGACAAATTTCTAACAAAGCCTCTTGAAGGCCTGGATTCCCACAATTTGCCTTCCCCAGAGGTAAGTAGTCAAGTAATCAGTGAAAGTTCAGTTCCCATTAGCACTACTAAATCCACTGATAGCAAACATAACTTTATGTGGGACATGTAAATATTCCTGGGTTAATTAAACCACATGTAGATTGTTCTCACAATTACAGTTTTCATCAGATTAATAAAGATAAAAATGATCCATACAAAGAGATATATGTATTGTGCTTGATACTTTTCATTGGCAGGTGGACATTGCTGGCTGGATTTCAATGGCCTATAAAAGTTTTTCAGTCTCCAACCACTTTTACAGTTTTTAATCCTCAGCTGTAAAAGGCTGATAGGGTACCGTCATCACTCTGCCAGGCGTGGACACCCAACTTTAAAACATGATAAAGATGGCGACGTAGGATTTTTAAATTAATGCCATAGGTTCATTTACTAAAAACCTCAAATGAATTTGAATCTCGGGGACCTTCACGGTCAGAGGTCTATTTTTCTAAAATTCTTGTGAATACTGTAACTCAAGAAGGAAGTCACCTAGGAGTCTTACATTTATACAATAATTACTAGGAGGCTGAGGTGTAACACTGGCAGCTGTCAGTATTTTTCACAGCTGGTAAGACTGCTTACCATCTTTTATTATAACTGAAACTAATACAATTAAATACATTTGTTCTGACCTCTGATACTTCTGGTAAAACCTTAGAACATTTGTAGCTTTGTTTCAGCCTGGTATGGGAAAACTTGCAGAAAATGTTTCATGTGTCTTTTATCTCTCATGAGATTTTTTCAGAGCCCTTTGACATTTTTCTCATGTAACATAGTTATGCAGTAAGAATTTAATATATTCAAAAGCATTACAGAAAAATGTGAAAGTAGCCCCTTTCATGAGACAATTATTTAGGCCTGTAATCAGTTTTCAGTCTGTGAACATTACTAAATTTTATTTAAAATTGCACTGCTCAGAGAGCTGTATTGGGAAGATTATGCTGTAACTGCAGTTACCTTCATGTATCACAAGTGTAACAAATATGTTTAGAGCTTTACAATAGGAAAAACTTCTCTATACGATAGGAAAAATCTGCGTCTAACTAGGTGAAAATTATGTAACGCTTATTGTGCTCAATAGGCAGATCACTAATGCCTCAAAAGGAGAAAGACCAATGGCAGAAAAGGTTAATGTGTGCAGGGTTGGATGTGGCAGCACAGCGGAGGGTGGTCTCCATCTCCTGATTGGCCCTATCGGCCTGGCCATTACTCTGTGCGTGAAAACCAGAACAGAGACTGAACTGGGCGAAGAAGGAAGTACAGAATTTTTTCCAAACTTGGGAAGTGGGGACTGTGGCCTGATATGACATTCAGGCAGAAAACATGGTCAGTGATGAGTTGAGTGGTTTCCAGAACAAAGCGTAGCCTAGCCAGGGCGATGAAATTAGCTGCTTTAGAAAAATGGTCTACAATAGTTAGAATTGGGTTACCTGTTAAGGGGGCTAGTCCAGTGATGAACTCCAAAGCGATGTGGGATCAGGGACATCCCGGCATCGGCAAGGGTTGGAAGAGTACAAACGGAGAAGAGCTGGTGATTGTATTCTGAGCACAGTAGACACATATTCTTTAAAACATGCTGTCTTATTAATGTGGGCCACCAGAACAAACATTGTGTGTGTGTGTGTGTGTGTGTGTGTGTGTGTGTGTGTGTGTGTGTGTGTGTGTGTGTGTAGGCTCTTAAAGGTAAAGTCCTAGTGAAGGGGAAGAAGGAGAGGTTGGAGGAATGCTCGTCCAGCTCTTCAGACCTCAGTTCCTCAGATGAGGAGACCAGCCGCATAGAAGGGAAACCCAGAAGGAAGGAGGATAAAAAGGTTGGTACGACACTATCCTAGAAACAGTACCTCTGACCACTTCTGGATGGTGACTAATTCAGTTGGTTTCTGTGTATGTGCATGTGATGTCAGGCAGGCGTCTCCAAGATAACTCCGGAGCTATCAGACCTGGTTGTGTACACTTGCAGTGTTCCCTTTAAAAGCTTCGAACAAGCTGCCAAAAGTCCAGCAACCAACATGTCATCTTTCTCCGAAAGTGATGCACTCAGACATATTAAGGACTCAGGTAGGACACGTCTAAACTTGCCTTTTAGAGTAAAATGGAATAGTTTGTACAGTACAAGTACAGTAGCAAAGGTACTGAGACACCCCACATTTCTTTATGTTTTGCAAGTAATATTGTTGGTTTGTTTTATAAGATGAAAGACAGAAGAAGGAAGCCAGGAATAGAAAGGGAAAAGGGACAGAATGATATTTAATCGTGATTAATCAAAATTAATCCACAGCAACCCTGTGATGAATCTGATTAAACATTTTAATTGTTTGACAGCACTAATATATCTGTATACTTACCTATTAGTATATAGTTTTTTTTTTAAATTGCATTTCACCTGAGAGGACCTGTGCTAAAAGACTGAAGAAAACTATTGAAATTCTCTATGAATTTAAGCATATATTCTTTGTTTATTCCCCATTTATTTCATTATATTGCATAAATGTCTGTTACAAGCTTAAATATAAAGTTGAAAAAGTGTAGTTGCAACCAGGCTGTTGATCAAGTAATTGCGATTAATCACAATTGATTACAGAAAATTGTGAGATTAATTAGTTAATTAAGTCTATTGACAGCACTAATTGCTATATGTTTCAAAATGGATTAAATCAAGCTTGTTAGACAGCCCATGGCTGGACCAAGAACAAGCACAAAAGCATAAAAGTAAAAATCTCTTATCTGCCTTTTATAAGCTCCAATATTAAAATCATACCTGCTTTAAAAGCCTTAACATAAACACATCTCCACCGGCGTGGTGGGAATTAAAAAAACAAAAAAAAACAAAACCCTAAATCTTTACTTATCATATGTAAACTAACAACCATTTGAAACAATACAGATATCTGTTGGAAAATAGAACAGAAAATACTCAATAGAAAAGAGAATACTAAATACTTTTACAACTTAGAAATACCTATAGGGGTAACTTTTACATTTTTGTACCCACTTTGTAATATTTGTAAGTTGTTATTAAACACTGATGATTTAATTTCCTTCCCTTCTTTCTCTCATTGATTTTGATCAGTCAAGATTAAAAACTTGTGGAGACTGATACGCTTAAATTCAATTCAATTCAATTCAATTTTATTTATATAGTGCCAAATCACAACATAAGTTGCCTCAAGGCGCTTCATAGATACAGAGAAAAAA